CATGTATGAATATCAAGGTAAAAATATTACTTTGAAAAATACCCCTCTACTTTTTTTTTATGAAAGGCTAAATAAAGCTAAATATCACTGGTAATGGTTGGCAGTGTAACTTTACAAACGGCGCCCCATAATAAACTCTCTAATATTGGCTCTGAAGGAGTAATTGAGTGTTTTGAACCGATCAAACAATGTTTGTACATATTTAGATTTCAACGTGTTTATACGTTTTTGTTTGTTTTTCACGCTCATTTTACGACCTCCGCAGTCTCGATTTCCACTTAACGTGCCAAAAGCCTCCGTGCCAGATGTTCATAAACTGAAACAGCTGTTTTCCTCTCCGTCATTGCAGAAGGTGTTTGAGACGCAGAAACAAGAGTATTTGTTTTATGTAGGATAGTTTGTGGAGGAGTTTAGTCCTTTACGATGAGGGGGGGTTTGATGGTAAAGTTAATAATAGTAGGTAGATGCATGTTGGAGTTTAAGTAACATTTTTAGCCTCTTAAATGAAACCCACAAACAAATAAAACCCATAAAACTCGATACAAATTAGTGTGTAAACTGCAAATTTATCAAATATTAATCACTCTCTGATATTTATTTCTTTTTTTGTGTATTTTAGGTTCTTATGTTTCATATTGTTTCCTGTAAAGCACTTTGAATATTCAAACCAATAAATACAAATTAGAAATTCACAATTGTTAGAAATGCAACCTATAACGTGCCGATGCAGTTCAAGTCTCTATCTGTAGTCGTAGGAGTGAAGTGGATCCATGTGTCAGTCTGTCGTAGAGCTGACTCTGATGTTAACGGTCGTGGACAAGATTTTAGTAAAAGTTACCACAGAGTCCGATTTTAGTGTTTGGGGGAGAAATGTGCTGCAGTAACCAGAGTTTTATTATAGGATATATGTACAAATTTCAAAAGTTCTGGTCTATTCTTCAGATATATATTAGAGATTTTCTGATGACAATCAAAAAATATGCGATATTTAACCCACGTATTTGTCTAAAAGTTTAGTCACAGCAATAGTTGGATGTTGAAATATTAAATTATGAGATCACATTTTGAGTTTCCAGCAGAATGATCCAACAGGAAATAAAATATTCRACCCCGTCACACTTACATGTATTTGCCTACAGCTGTGTTTGGTTGTACGGTTAGTAAAACATCTCATAAACTATTCGACTCGATTTAATTTAAAGTGCCTGTGACGTAATAATGTAATAAATATGAACGTGTTTTTGGACAGATAACATTGATAACATGTTGAAATAAAAGCTTCACGCCGCTCAGAGGAAAACTTGAGATATTTGCATGTGAAGCAACAGGAAGTGATGTAAAAGGGGAATGTCTGTGTGTGACAACACAAACAGAGATCTGTTTCTTTAGATTATTTTTAATCCCTATCACAGGGGTTTTCAAAACTTTTGGGACCGCTTACAATGGTGGAAAAAAACTCCAGGGACCCCCTCATAAACCTCGCCATAATTTTAACCCCTAAATGCCATGGTAATAGTATTATTATTTTTTGGTTTAGTATATTTGTTTTACTAATGCATTTTCCCCATATGCATGTTTTAATAAAATGAAATTAACTTATTGAGGAATATTGTTTCAATAAAGAAACACTGAGGAGTTTTCTTTCATAAAGAGTTCCCCTTTGATGTCACTTCCTGTTCACTTTCTCTGAGTTAAATTCAAAACAAACCATAAGCTATGTGACAAAATGGGTAAAATTGAGTAATATGCAAAATTTCTTAAATATAAAAATGTTTTCTTGGAATTTTTTTGTAATTGAAGGACACGCATGTCAAAGGCACTTTGATTGTTGCAGCTAATCACCCGTAGCCAACACTGTCGTGATTTTTTTTAAATAAATGAGCTAAAATTTGCTGAGGTAGTGACAGTCATGCACAACAGTTTAGGCAAGATCCTGCAAGATATGGAATATTGCATGATGTCATTTCTCAACAGGWGATAGCACATTGCCTGCAAGGAACGCCTTTAACGTTTGTTTTTTCTTGCAGCCACRTTTGATGGGAAAAACAGTTCGTTTTGGTGAACTGAATCATTAGAATCAGTTCATTAAAACGATTCGTGAAAAAGATTTATTCACTGAATCTTTCAGTACATTTGTAACACATGTACTATATTAATAATATAAACACTAAAAATTATTATAGTAATTATACTAATAATAAAATTAATTGCAGTAGAGTTACAGAGGAGATAATATGTTGCATATGTATCCTATTGCTATAATTTTATTATTATTATAATTACTATAATAA